TATATTGATTCAATAAGTTTAATATCAATATATTTATTGAAAATTGGCTATTATGTCAAAATAAGAAAACTTTAGATTATCACGCGAAAAGGCAATGTTTTTATGAGCAACTGTTCATCGTTAGTTGCAGGCGACGGTAATGATGGTCGGGCAAAGATACATTACTTTCTGTTTTTTTATTGCCAATTGAAGATTTTGAAAATATTTGCAAGTTGGCAAGGAATGTGCACCAGCACCAGATTTCGTCATGCGGTTTCTTTTATCAAGACATCTCTTGTAGTTTTCTTTAAGGTTCTTCCACTGAGCCTTGAGGAACTCAACTAAAGCATAAAAGAACCACACTGGTATAAAATGCATGTGTACAGTTTACCACGAAAAAGAAACATGGCAAATGAATGTCTTCCAATTAGGGATGTCCTGGTTCCCGGTGATTACTATCCAATATCCGGCAACAGCAGCAGGCCTGCTGGGGGGGGGGGGGGGATTATTCTCACAGTGTTAAAATTTTGTGTGACAGCCATCCAGCTAGAAGACAGATGACTGAGCTCATATATTGTCCGACATGTATAAATGTTTATTGTATAATATATTGGTTAAATTTTTTAGTGAAATAAATTATGCTTTATTTTACTCTAAGGGGCTGTTCATATGAGCCCGGCTCTGTCGGGCTGGCTTGAAAGTGCCGAGATCCCGCCTAATATAGTGTTTTCATACATTTTAAAAATTGAGTTCATATGGAAAGTGGGCTGGCCGGGCTAGCTGGGATCCCAGCATTGCCGGACTCATGTGAATGCAACAACTGGGCCAGCCCGGCTGAAAATTGTGTTACAGCCCATGCTAGATTCTTGTTCATGTTCATGCTGTGTTCAAAGCGCGCCAGTTATAAATTGCCAGACCAATTGCCGGCCCAACCTCGTTCCCAGGGTCTCTCCCTCTGTCATCTGGGAGAGACCCTGGCTGCGGCTGGTCACGTGCCTCCCAGATTCTGGGAGGTAAATTTAATTGTACATATGATGCCTAATATAGGATGCCTAATATAGGACGTGCTTATTCCTAGGAGTAAGGGGGACTAATGAATGTTTCTAAATACTAATGAATGAAAATTTAAAGTAGGAAAGAGATAGGGTGGTGAGATACGGTTAGTGTTTTAAAATTAATCTTGAAATATATGCTGCACAGGTTTTACAGGTATATATCAGTGGTTGCATGTTAATAGATGTTTATGGGACTAGCATTGTACTCGTGAAAAGTGAATATAGCGTTGAATACAAACTATAAAACCCAATCATATTTCAATTTAACAAGTATGTAAAAATTATAGAAGTAAACTAGCGAAGTAAACTAGCGAAGTATCCCAATATTAAATGGCCAACTGCCAAGATTTCAGCATTCACTGATCCAAACCCCCATGCCCCTCATAACATGCAAATTTGAATCATACTGTACAGTCGCTTGAGTCAGAATGCATGCCAGTCTTAATATGAATGAGCAATATAACTTCCATCTGAATCTTCAGTCCAGAAATGTTAAAATCCTTTAATTCTGTTGGCATTTCCCTATGGGCCCACCCCAAGGCTTATAACATAAATTATATTATTTTATATTAACTACACAAATGACAAGTCTTATTTTCAGCAGACAAATTTCAAGCCTTCACATAACTATAATTCTTTATATAGTACCTAGCAATTGTAGAAGTGACCCATAATAAGGCACATTAAGCTAACTATAGCATGCCCCACATGACTGTCAGTGTGCTTTAATATAATTAATTACCGTACTCCACAAGTAATAAGGGGCAAGGGATATCGGTATGTTTACCAATCAATCCCATCCCCTTTTAATTATAATGGCCATTATGATCAAAGCACCCTATAATGACGTTGCAACAAAATAGGTTCAGGTGGCCAGGGGTAAAATTTTTTCCAGCATTCCACCGCTGGGGTAGCTAGAAATTTTGTTTCGAAAAAGATGGGGTAATGATTTTTTTCTGGCTGCATTATACTTTCTCTTCGGCCCCCACCCCTGCCATAAATAATGACCGGTCCCTTACTATGTTGAATCATGCCTCTGTTGAATGTATTAAATGCACCAAGGTAGACATACCGGTAATATTTAAATCAATACCCCACCATAACCTAGTGTCAAAGTATGACTGACAAGTAGATTGGCATTTAATGTCTGTACCCCCCCTTTCGAGAACATTGGAAATCCTCGGGGTTTAAAAATGTAAGACTGGAAGTCCTCAGGTTTTAAGAATTTTCACTCTGGAAATCGCCTGAGAGTTTAATGTGAATCCCTCGACATTTAATTGGGTGAAATTCTTTGGGATTAGGCATTTAATTGCCATGGCCCAGAAATAAAGCTTCCAATACTTGGGGCTGGTCCAATAGAAATGAGTATTGCTGATGTTGATTGATGCATAAAACCAATATAAGTATTAATAATTTTGAATTTTTATTTTTGTTGTAAATATAAACCCATAAATCCTGAAAAGGAACAATGGTTTTTACTTAATATTATAGAGTGGCATGTTGAATGTCCAAAAATAAAATGCGTTTTTACTTGAGACTCAATGCCGGTCACAGTGGACCAGTGGTTATACACAAAATTATATCATCAACCCAACAAACTTCAAGGAATATTTTAATAATCATAATATGACTTACCGTCTTTCCCGAATTTCGCAGCAATATTAGACCAGGCGTTTTTCTTTTTCGTCTGATCTTTATACGCTCTGTATGAAGTGTTCCATAAACATGGTTCTTCTTGTACTTGGCCAATAAATATCTCAACATTAGGCCGATGGAATTAAGGTATCAGTTTACCGTCACCCGCCCGCGTGTGTTATTGGCAACCGCGTGAAATTTTCGTTATTTCAATATTTTTTCATTATTTGTCAAATTTGTAGAGCAAGTGTTTCAAAAATGGCTTTCTGTTGAAATTATTGGCAAATACTGACTTTGTTTATACAGTTAGCGAAGCCATAGCCTGCGTAGTGAAGCCACAGCGAAACGGAATCAAAGACATAGCTGATAGCTCGGAAGCTAGCAAAAAGCTCAAGAATCGCCAAAATTTTCTTGGATTTTTTCGGTCAAAATTCGGATTTTTAGATCAAAATTTGACAAATTCAAATCGTGAAAAATAATGAATAATGAATAATGAAAAAAATCCGCATCAACTTTTGAAATTTTAGGTGACGGTAAACTGATACCTTAATTCCATCGGCTTTATACTCGATAATCTGGATTAGACTGTCATTTCTAACTTGAGGTGTTGTATCATTTTCAATCTGAAGGTCTTGATTTTGATTAAAGCCATTATGGATGTCAACTGGCTCGATATTTCCAAGGGAAAACATATTTCGTTCACCCCAGAGTTCACTCCTATCACTGTCAGCCATCTTTGTTTGATCCAAATTCTTAAAGTGCGATCGCAAAAGTAGAAAGCGATTCTACTTTTTTTTCCGATCGGTCGATTTGAAAATTTAACAATAATACCACTATTGCGCATGCGTAATTGAAAAAGCGCTCGCAAAAAGTCGATCGCGCGACATTTTGCACTGAATGGAAATCCGCCTTCTGAGTCCAGATCCAAGTCCAGGTTAATGCAGTATGCCTATAAACAACATGGCCACATGCCCACATGGTCATTGTATGAATCGACACATGCAAGCGGGATTGCAGTGGTATTAAAATCATCTCTGGCTGTTTCGCTAATTTAAAAATAGAAAAATAATTACGTCATTGAACAGACACAGTCACGTGACAGAAAATAGCGGGAAATATACACGTTGGTTTTAAGCTGTTTACTCGAGGTTTAACGTTCAGAAATAGGTTTATATTTGGTGTATTGTAAAGTGATATAGGCCAAAGAAGTAAGTTCATGTTGTTTGTCATAACTAATTTACTTTATTCAGTAGATAATTCTTGTATTTATACTTTTAGATCGAATATTATTATTATTACTACAACTAAAACTGATTATTATACGATATTTGGAAATTATTTGTGGTCACTTTACAACCGGTTTCTGATTCTGGCGAGCCATAAATTCGATTTCTAGCTGACCAGGGCTTAAAGGATATTCAGAAAATGACGGAGGT